CACATATAGGGAAGCACAGCAGCCTTCCCTGTGTGGGAACTGAGGTAGCACTGCTCCTGAGCCTGGCTCACCCCATACAAGGAGAGCATCAAGAGAACACCCCCGCAGGCCAAGGTCCAGAAGGTGTGCCTCACAAATGGGTCTGGATTCAGCTCAATCCCAGAAACGAGGCCATGCTGGGAAGCCACGGCCAACACATGCCCCATGCTGCTTATTTTGGCCATTCCCACAATTATAACAGCTACCTGCCCTAGGAACATGACCAATGTCTGGAACACATCCATCCAGATGACAGCCATCAGCCCACCCAGTACAGTGTAGATGATGAGGGAATACCCAGAGTCAGCCCTGAGAGCCATGGATCAAAGCCTGTCACTGCTTTGAAGGCCAATGATGGCGCATAGAGCACATCCCTCACGTAGATCACCATCTACAGATCTGCAAATCTGCACTGCTTTATTGAATCAGAGCTCCAGGTACTCAAAGATGCTGGTGAGGTACAGGTGGTAGAAGATGGGGATGAAGACATGAGTGAGGATCAGCAACCCCAGAAGGTAGGAGCATCCCAGGAACCAATACTGGGTCCCAAATCAGTAGATCTCAGATGGCACGCTCAAGATGGCCACAGCTGACTGGAACATGGCCAGCAGGGACAGTCCCACAGGCAAGCAGCTCATTTTGTGGTCTGCCATCAGCAGGTGGTCAACAGTATGGTGGCTCCACCCACGACAAGTATGGTAGAGCCCAATAGCCAGGGAGAGCAGCAGGGCAAACACCAAGTAGTCCACAACTGGGAAGACAGGGGTGGTGCGGGTCGAGTCTGAGGTTGTGAGGAGTGGGGCCGAGGTGCTCATTCCTACACTCATCCTCACTGTGTCTGTGTTTTCCTAAGCCAGCCATTGCTTTGCAATCTGGGAGACTCCTCAGGTGGGCAGGACCAGGAAAGCAGCTATGAATTGGCTCTCAGCTGTCTCACAGTCTTCTGCCACCCAGGGACATGGTCCAGGGAGAGCTCCATGGTTCAGCCTGAGCTACCATGGCTACGGAGACCCCTTTTTTCTTCCCCAGATCAGCATCACTCCCTTTTCCCTCTTTCTTTCATGGCTTTTCTCTGGCCTCCTCACATGCTGCATCCACCACCTCGCTGCTAGCACTTTATACCTACTCCATTATATTTATTTATTGATTGATTGATTGATTGATTGATTGATTCAGTATTTTAGGGAAGGGTCTACAGGGTATTCAGGGTCTCACTACTAGATCAGACTCAAAATCATCCGCCTGTTTACAATCTCCCAAGAGCTGGGATTACAGGAGTGCGCTACTACGCCCAGTCTCAGTTTCCATCTCAGCGCGCCCCAAGAGCAGGGCTGGCACCGCAGGCCCAGGGATCTAACCCCCAACCCCTGTGCCTGATTGCAGGCACTTTAATCCACTGAGCTATTTGGCCAGCCCTTCTATTACTGTTAAAGATTACTTTCACTTTTCTTTTTTTATTTCTGAGTATTTTGGTTTATTTGCCAAATGACGTAAAGGACATTTGCATGATTTTGTCAAGGATTTACCTTTTGCTTGCTTGTGTTTTACAGGGATTCTTTCAGGCTTTGTAACTTACCACCTTATAGTCAGAAATTAAGACTTCATTAAGCAGTTTTTTAGGATGTGACCTAAAGGTTGATGACAATAAACATTCTATTGTGGAATACAATTCTAAATTCATCAGTTGTACTCTAAATTGCTATCTATGTTCATGAACAGCAAAATGTGTTTTAATCTTGATTTTAATTTCCTATTTGTTGAATATATTGTTTTCTCTGATTCAGATGCTGAGACACTTTAATATCCAAAAATCTGTATCTCTGACCATTACTTTGAATTATTGCAGGTGTACTATGTATCACTCATTTTTTATTAACATACATGTGATTCCTCTCATTGCTTATAAATCTTTCTTTATAACAAAAGCAAATCAAGCCCAGGACTGAAAAGCCTAATGTGTTAGATGGTGTGTATCTATCTGGATTGAAAAGAACTGTTACTTCTGTTATCACATTTATCATAGAATTGTCTTCTATTTATTGCAATGCTACCATTTTTGTTTCATAATAATGAACATACTTATATAACTGAATTTGAGAAGTGATTCAATTTAAAGGAACTAATAAGTAAATGATAGTAGCATACGTGAAATGCAAACATAGTAAGAGGTCAAAGAACTTATTCAGAAAATAAGGATGATAAACTCACAATCGTCAGAGTTTCTAGACCCTCAGTAACTATAAATTCATGCTTATCTTTAGGAAGTCCTTATCAGTATCTTTATAAGGAATATGCTTATGAGACTCATATTGAAATTTTGGGAGGGGCCGGGGAGATGGCTCAGTAGGATAAGCGCTTGACCAGCAAACGCAAGGATCTGAGTTCAATCCCCGGTTCTGCCAAAAAAAAAAAAAAAGAAAGAAAGAAAGAAAGTTTGGGAGAGATATCTCTGCACAGAATAGACATCACATTATGATCAAAGCTTTTAAAAATGATGACTTACCTAGTCAAGGCAAATAAATTTGATTACAAGTAGTTGGTAGCTTATATCACAACTTAATAGAAAAGAAATTCCAACCCAAACTATTTCTGAAACCATAAAAATAAAATGAAAACTCAGTCAAAGATGAACTAGGAAAATTAAATTTGTTTGTTAAATCATTGCATCAACATCACCTGGCAACCTATTTGCCTATAGATGTCCTATGGCCACTATGAAAATGGAGTTAGAAATTTTAGTTTGGGGTCCTATTTAAGAGTTAGAAACAATATAATGTAGTGTTTTTGACTGTTGACAATGTATTCTTGGATAAATATATTACATATATAATGATAGTGGCATATAAACATAAATATATAATTATTTCATAGGGGAAAATAGGTTATATTTATAGTCTACAAAAACAAAAGCAAAGAGGCATGGTGGCACATAGCTGTAATCGATGTAAATTTGAGGTCAGCTGGGGCTATAGAGCAAGAACATAACTAAAACAAAACAAAACAAAATAAAACAAAAATCAAAATAGATATACCATTGATTTACAAATATTTACATCATAAGATATTTATTTTCATTTTCTTGATTAGTACTAAATATTGTATTTTAGGGAAAAAGTAAAATTACCTTATAAGAAATATTATTTTACTTTGCAGTCATTGACAATTTATTCTCTGTATCAATTAAAGGCAATTATTTACAAATTATTTTATTAAGATTACTTTGGGGGGCTGGCCAAATATGTCAGTGGATTAAAGCATCTGCAAGCAGGCGCAGGGGTCGAGGGTTCGATCCCTTTGCATACTGTGCCAGCCCCACCCCTGGGGTCACTGAGATGGGGTTGAGACTGTGTGTGGTAGCACATGCCTGTAATCCCAGCACTCAGGAGAAAGTGAGTCAAGGCCAGTTTGAACCTCATAGTGAGACCATCTCTCAAAATGACAAATACCTGCATATTTTTGTTGGTGTTTGTAATACATAATAATTATATATTTTTAGAAATTGTTTCATAGAAATACCTTATTTTGATCACTTTTTAGCACCTTTGTTTCCTTTATTTTCCCAGCTGTCCCTCCTGCAATCCTTTTCTCCACCTTCAAAAAGTTCAGCTAAGATAAATATCTCCTCTAAATTACTTTGCAAAAGTTCAGTCATACAGAATATTTCTAGTCAATGTCATCCTTCGAATAAAAGATCTACTGAAACTATTTTTCAAAATTCTCATGAAAATTGAAAGCAAACAAGCAGTTATTAGGAAGACTAGTCTATCCCCATGGTAATGACAGGTATAAAAAGTTCATCACATTATTAATATGAATACAGAACTCGTATTTCTGTAAGAAATCTATGTAGAATTCACACATAAAACTATGTTACTGTATTTTTTGAGCTGCAATCTTATCATTTATCAAATGAAGTGGAGATAATATTTATGCCGTTGTTATGGAGACTGGATATTAGAATGGATTTAAAGTTCTTTGCGCTGACTCATAATGAGAAATCTCTTACTTTTTCAAAGTTAGGATTTGATATAATTGTTTTTACACAAGACAATATGCATTCATGAAGGCTACTCAGAAACAAACATCTTAATTATCCAACTGTACCAAATAAAGTACTTTAGAAAATGACAAAACTGTTACTATCTATAAAGAATCTGTTAGCTTGCTTGATTTGTTATAAGAATTGTCTTGAGATTATGTTAGGAAAATATAGTCAAATTTATACCACGCTAATATTTGAAGTAAGAGTGTAAGATTTGTAAAATCCTTATAATTCCCTTGTTGGGCATTATAAAATCTGATTTTAGTCTATAATGACTATTTCCTACTAGTACTTTTCTTAATTAGCCCTTTGAATTTTCTGTATACGGAAGACATCACAAATAAAGAATTTTCAGATATTAAGAAATAAATGTATTCAATTTGAAATGAACAATATTTTTAGAATGCCTTAAAAGAATGGCTATTGAATGGAGTGACATGTGTTATCTGATGATGAAATGGCTCAAAATTCCACACCATTGTAAGTCACAGTAATTTAAATTTCTCAAATGTCATGAAAGCATCTTTGACATTACATAGATACTCAAAATTTATACAATACTCATACACAAATTAATTTTCTTATAGTATCATTGAGTTTAATTTATTTTCAAAACATCCATTAAGAATTTCCTATAATGTTCTTTAACTCAGTTAAAACAACACACAAAAAAATCTGAGTACTAAATGTTGCTAATGTCCACATTTGTTTGCAATTCATACAGTAATATGTTTGCAAGAACTCCAAGCTGTAAGGAAATATTCTCTTTCCACTAATTCTTACCACTATTTCTGGATCTCCATTACATTAAAATACTTTTGCATATAATTGAGGAGACAAAAACACTAAAGTGCCTGCAATGGATTGTATTTTTGTACTGATAAGAACAAGAATCTTTGAACAAAATAGTAAGAACAAGAATGTTCGGGGAATAACGTTAGAGTCTAGGATTAAATATTAAGCACCCTGGGAGTAGGCGAGCCATGTAGAAGCCAAGTAGACAGGATATTAAAAGACAGGATCAATATGCAAGAAATTGGTGAGAGTTTTCTTGCTTCTTTAATGTGTTAGAGCACTGGATGACAGTTCTTTGACAACCATTAAAAAATCATGTACAGCATGGGGGAGGAAAACATTTGCTAAGACTATTTGTAGTCTAGGCTTGAGATAGCATAACTCACTGCTGCTTTGAAACCTATCAGGTACAGGGATGAAAAAGACGTGAAGTAGTAGCCTCATCGTGGATGGAACCTAGCACCAGCTAAAAGTTAGTCCGAAAGGTGAGGTAGCACTCTCAGAGAAAATAGAATAAAGAACTTAGTCAGAAATTAGGTTTGTAGCTGTACAAAGAATATTGTGATTTCCATGCTAATGTTGTCTATCTTCACTAAAAGAAAGAGAATGTGGCTTTAGAAGGCTTCATCTCATAGGTAGAAGCCTTGTACTTGATATATTGTTTTCTTTAACTTATTTCTCTTCAGAGGAGAGAGAATAAAATGACAGAAAGAGAATAAACATATTTAATAATTAACTTCTACTTCATTAGACCTTATGATATCACAAACTAAGCATTTCTTTCAGAGTTGCATATACTTCAGGATTCTAATCATTATAAAGTAGACTAATAGAATCGTATTGCTACATAGTCATATGGACATTTCTGAAATTCGCTGTTTTATTTTATTTCTTAATGTATGTGTTATAGGGTCTCACTATGCAGCTTGGGCTCATAGTGATCCTCCTGTTTTCAACCTCCCCAACTCTGGGATTACAGCTGTGTGCCACTAGGCCCGGTCTCTGCGGTCAGCTCAGTGCTGGCCCTGGGGTAGGGGCCGATGCATCATGTGGTGCCAGGGATCAAACCACAATCCCTGCACTTGCCTAAGCTTGCCTAAGCAGGAGCTTTAGTCTGCTGAGCTATCTCATGGGCCCCTGGGGTTTGCTTTTTAATACTTCTTCCATCAGGAGAATCAATGGAGAAATAGATTTTATATAACTAGCATGAAAATACACCTTAACATATATTTAATTATTTATTTATGTGTGAGGAGGCAAATCAGAAAAAGTGGTTATTGTGCTAATTACTTGTGCTACAATAGAGAAGAAAAAGTACCTGCAAATTCTTAAATGTTAGTGGGCTGCAGAGATTACTGTGTATAAAGCCCTACCTACAGATGTACAATCTGAAACCAAATCCTCTAGCAGTATTCTGAGATGGTGTTTTTTCTCTATTTCTTTTTTAATCAGATAAGGGGTGATTGAAGGCCTCACTTCCATTTTTCAGGTTTGTCAAAAATAAGTTAAAAAAATAAAATCATAGCTTTCTTGGGATAGTACCATATCTACCTTCTTTTAACACCCTTTAAGCTGTACATATTTATTTTTAAAGTTAACAGAATCCTAGTAAATGAAACGAAGCAGAAAGTGCTGATGTGTTCCCTGTAATCGCTTTTGATGGGAAACAGGCTCTGAAAAGTTCTTGCAGTTATTTTCACCCCACACCAGGACTGCAGATTTAAGGAAGAGGCAGCACTTGTGTGGAATTCTAAGCCATTTCCAGACTGTTGATAAGAGGAGATTTACACCCTGGAGGCAAGCCTCTATCATTAGGACATATGTTCAGTCAAAGCTGAGTTGTGACTACCTATGTAAGTAAGGAAAAGCAAAATGATTTGTGTAGCTTAGAAAAAGTGAAAGGAAGTTCTATTATGATGGCAGAGACAAACTTAAATTCTAGGATGGAAAGGAAAAGACCGCCTTAGTCAATTCGATGGAGATGACTAAATACAGTTTGGTCTCAGGGGACTAGTTCCTTCAGTATATATTAGTGTCCTGTTGTAACAGGGTAGAAAGGGGAAACACAAAGACCTTGGGGAATTGGCCTAAAACACCACATCTAATACATGAATTTCAAACACAGGCACAAATCGCTTAGCCATGGAGGAGCCCACTGTTTGCTGGAGGGCTGTGCATCAAAGTGCGTGGGGAGGGCAGGGCTTTGTCTGGAGCGCCTTGCTATACCTGTTCCTGCAACTCCACAGACTTCCGTAAATGATCTCCAATTTTCTTCCTTTGCATGTTATTTTTCATTCTCAAAATTTCTTTTTTTTTTTTAATTTTTAAACTCAGCTGTATTTATTATCTCTTAGCAGAATATGACCTGGGCACTCACTTCCACTCACAGGCCTTGTTCAAAATTTCTTAGAATAAGATTTTCATTCTTAACTCATTTCTGAGTTCTCTGTCCACCATCTGGGAAAAAGAAAACATGCTATTCTGCTGCTGAGCTTTTAGAGGCTGTCCTATTCAAAGATGTTCTTTGAAAATCTCATTAAGGACAAAGAGCAACTGAAGAGCTGCAGACAATGGTCAATAAGCTAATTACCATTTTAAAGGAAGAATCTGATGGGAGGGTTTTTTCATTTTCCTAAATTCATAGCTCAACTATGTTACACTCTATAATCACAGCTAAAGCAGTGTACTTACGTTTTGCATTTAGAACCAAATAAATTTCTCCAATTGTGCATCTTCACATATTTTTGTCTCACTCCCTCTTTCCTTCTTTTATTTTCCTAATCTTTAAAATTTTCACCTGTCTCTCTTAAACTCTAGTCACTGTATAATCTTTCTTTCATTAATCCTATTCATCCCCCAAGGAAATGTGATACATATTCTTAGTACATTTAAAATATTAATGCATTTATTGAAAAAATATTAGATGGCCTTTGTTTTTAAATTTTTCAATAGACTTCCTTCCCTTCTGTTATTGGAGTCTTAGGCCAGGGAATGGTCCAACTTAATCAGACCAGAACTGGCTATTTGCCCCAGAAACCAAACGGTTAAAATCAGGAAAATAATCTATTTAATATGATTATACTGGAAAAATAAAGGGGACGAAGAGTCTTAAGCCCTGGCTTTGCGTACACTGATCAGGACTTGAGTTTCAAGTAGAGAGGGAATGAAAGTGGGAGGCAAGATGTGTATCCAGTTTGTTCTTGATAAGATAGATACTACTGCTTGAGGTAGAAGAGTCATTTTAATGCTTGTCACGGTGTTTTTTATCCATCAGCCCTGCGATTTCTGGTGAATGACTCTAAGTAAAGACAAATACAAAATAGATGTACATATGCAAAGTTTTTATCCTACATTTAGTCTCTCATTGGATATCTGCAGATGCGTGGAAAGATTTTTTTTTCAAAACCAGCCTCTGATTCCTTGTCACATTCCTACCTCCCAGAAGACATTATAAATATGCATGGATTTATCAAGGAACATCATTTGCTGAACAGTCCCATCACCCTTTTGGTAATATTTTAATTCCTTACAAAGAAAAACAATCTTCCTCCCTTTTAACTTTCTTTATAACATGCATTTGAGACTTGTCAGACAAATAAATGCATGATTGCAAAATGTAGTACTCTATTGCTTCACTAAAACAGCATTAAATTATTTTGGATTTCTTTTCTATTTCAAAAGCTTAGGAGAATGCTATTTTATCTCTTTTCTCTTAAACAGTTT